GTGAGTTTAAAGTATTGAAAAGCTACGACATTATTTTTTGTTGCCATGCCTTATATATAACATGGCTCTTGTACCACTTTGTAGGAAGCGTGGTGGACACACAATATATTTCACAAAACAATATAGAGAGGAAAACAAATGCACTAAATAATATCTCTTATAATCTCTTATATGTGTGTTGAACAAAATGAATTAGCATTTATACAATGCTACTACCTAACCTTTTAATGGACATTAATTATTTCTCCTTAACTTTCTCTCCTCTTATAATTATAGCATTCCTAATTTTATTCTTCATGAATTAGATATAATAAGCTTTTTATCAAGTTTTTCAGTTTTTAGCACAATTTCTTCAATGGTAAAGCAACCCGTGAATTAATGTTTTGCGATAATTAGGGTTTTTAAATTGGGGGGTCAAATTAAAGTGATTCCATTCAATAATTAAGGGGCTTTTGTTCGAATTATTACTTTAAATACCGGGTAAGCTTTAATTTGGAAAAGTGGATTTTTTTTTACCAAAATTAATCCAGATCCCCCTTTTCTCACGCTTTTAAACATACAGCGGTGGAGGCGCTGTGCCTTGCGCCTTAGTAGAGGCGGTTAGAGGCACACTTTTTAAAACTAAGCTTACAACATGAACTTTCTTTCTCCCTCTAGTTATCATCTCTTTGTCCTCCTTTTCCTTTATCCTTACCTTTATTTTTTTCCCTTGCTTGCTTAACTTTTCTCACCTTCATCTCTTTCTCTCTCCTTAAATATATACTTCATATTTTTTGCTTTTTTATTTTTGTCTATAGCTCTCCAATATCATTCTCTCTTCTTATATAACTAAGATTCTTTCAAAAGGAATTAAAGTTAGAATTTTAATTAAAGTTAGAATAATGACCACCAAAACACACAAGCACACCACCCCCTAAGCTACATGACCCACTCCATCGGTAACCCCATGTCACGGGATAATTTATGGACTAGTGTTTTTTTTTTTTTTCCTCTAAGTTAGGAACTTAGGATGTTCCCGTGATGGCGCCTAGACCAAGTCTAGACTAGCCTAACACTCAAGCAATAAGAACACACGCACACAAGCAAGAGACAAAGTACCAACTAGTAAGAACACTTTATTATTTTCGTGGCTTACAAATACAAGGAGTTTCTCCCTCTAGAATCTCTCTAGAGCTCCCAAAATTCACTGCTAAGCAAATGAATGCCTTGGCCTATTTATAGGCACTGACTACATCCTAGTTGGTAGGATAACTACCCACTATGCCCACTACACCGATGATCTAATAATTGTCCACTACTTACTTTGGTTACTTGGATCACCTGGACTTGTCCATGTACTAAGGGAGTTATCCACGTATAGCATGATCCCATAACTGTTTGGTAACCGTCAAGCCCCACTATGCCGTGCTCCTATATTTTAGGAGGCATGCTTCAGTGTGCTTATATGGCACTCAACCGCGTCATCAGTGTAACCACCCACTTCACCTTAGTGTTCCTATTTTCTAGGGTCACTAAGTGAGTGGTGTAACTACCATATGACATGGCATCATTCTCTCAGAATAACTACCCACGATCTAGGCCACACCCCCACTACCTTGGTGTTCGTATTTTATAGGAACCGCCTTAGTAATGGCTTAAGAGCGTTCCTATTTGACCTCGGTCAAAGTCCCGGTCAAGATAATCGTTAGTCAACCCACTAACATCATGATCCTATATTTTAGGAACCATACTTAGCCACATGTCACCTAAGCATAACCGTCCCGATATTTTAGGGAGAGTGGTGCAACGTGGGTGGTTACTTCAACCGCCCACTAGCCCCACTACTTAGCCAATCCCTAGAATCAAGGCAACCACATGCTAGCCACAATGACTAAGCTTTACCGTCATAGAGTCCTTACTATAAATAGTCCACCAAGGGAAGCTTTGGTTAGATCAATCTTCAAGCCAAGGCTTTTCCTTAGCATCGAGCACATGGCCACGCAAGTTCATGGTTCCAACGTAGGCACCATAGTCATCGTTGACCCAGGCCGCACTTAATCCTCCATGCCGGAGCCACCATGGTCTCCACTATAGCAGTGGACCATAGAGACACCCTAACATGATCCCAAGAGTAACCTATTGTCAAACCACGCACCATCGAGCTAGCATGCACTGTACTAAGCCATAGGCCCCTACTGGTCGCCCTTCATCCACCCTAGTTGAGACTACCGAGTCGGTTTGTCCTATTGAGTGTCCACCATAGCCATCCAAGTGTGCTATAGTCTCCATAGGCCATCCTATATCCAAGAACATGCCCAAGGCTTCTAGCCATAGGGCCACCCTAGGTCAGCCACTGACCCCTTGAGTGAGCACTCGCCCCCTATAGAGCTTTATTTTGTTCAGTAAATACCAACTGACAGTAACACAATATTGGGCTCTCAAGCCTAACCATTGAACCCAACCTTAGCCCTATGGCCATGTATGATCTATTAGGGTCCTAATAAGTCCCCTCAATCAATAACAAAGGTTGTTATGGAGTTTTGCTCATCCAAACACTCCAAGGTTCTTTTGGTGTGCTCGCGTGCGCTAGCCATAGGCCCAAGGCCTAGCTGATCAAGCCCTTGCTAGCACCATGGTCTAAGAACTTGGGGACTATCCCTAATAACCTCACAAGCCTAAGACATGGTTGTGAGCTACCTTAGCCTCACTTGGCTCGTTCTTCTTAAACTGAGCGTAGCATGCACTTGCTCACGTAGGCAAGTGAGATCCCAAAGGCCTTGCGCGCCCATGCGGGGCGGTCGATGGCCTTGCCTAGGTCGACCCTAAGTGACTTGTGACACCCCACTACTTACCATACCAACGACCAACCCCTAACTACCTCCACCACCTGATCCCACCACCAGCCACCCTCTAACAACCCCGAAATCTCCCTCTACCCACAAACATCCTCCATCCACCTCGAAACCACCCCAAAACTACCTCTTTACATCCTCCAACCATCCCGAAACCAACCACCACGGGAAATCCACCAAAAACCCTCCCAAAAACTGCTGACCCTAAAAATTTGAAAAAAAAGGAAAAAAATGGAAAAATTACATTTAATATCAACAGATGTTGTTTTAGATTGTCAAATTAGACTATGAAAAAGTTAGATCCAAAGTTTTAATTTTTGAATTTAATTTATAAAACATTCATATATACTAATTATTCTGAGGTGAAACCATAATAACAGAGAGAAGAGGATGGTGGCGGTGTTACTTTAAAGGTTAACTTTCCGACTCAATTTTTAAACCCAATTTTCTACCCACTAAACTCTTAAAACAAAACCCTTTTAATGTCACAAGCCCTCATACCCATGACCTTTAAAGGTAAGGAGTGAGGGTTTAAGTCTTGCCTTAATAATCTATAATATTATTAAAACTCATAGGGACAATATGCTAATTGGGTGCAACATGTGCGCCATGTGTCATTCTATGTGTCATCGCTCTTCTCTCACCTCGTTGAATTGTACTCAGTAGTAATGTTTAGTATCTTTGAAAAACTCTTCATTGGCATAACTTTAATTCTCTATAATAATGTTTAATTTACTAAAAAAAACTCTTCATATGCTTAACCTCCCTATTTAAATTTGATATAACTTATATATTAATGAAAGATGATGTAGATTATCATATTTTCATTCACTTATTAATATTGTTCAACATTAGCCCTTCTTAATTAATTATGATCAAACTTATAAATTTATTATGAGTCGGGGCATCGGCCAAGCCAATAACTAGTTCTAAACCCAAAAAGTACATCCAATTTTCCAATACCCATAATCTCAACCTTCCAAGTGTAGCTCTAAACAAACATCCCTTGATTAGCACATTAGCCCAACCAATTACACCATCATTGATACCTCTCCACAGTAGCTCCCATGAATTGTGAGTCTTTTTTAATGGCCAAGTCACTTGTGGCATTCAATGAATTCATGGAATAATCCTTGAAAAGTAGCAGCAATATTAGGTGGCATATTGCGCATGGTTTGAGTGGGATGAGGAGTGGGATGCCTTCAATTGTTGTTGGCAGAAGGAAGATGTAGCCTGTTACTATCAACCTTAGGACAAGGTGGATGTCTGGCGGCATGTAATGTGTTGGATCAGGTTTATTGTGGGGAGGGCTTATAGGTAGTGCAATATGACTAGTATCTTTAGGAGGAAGATAAGTGATTTAAAGGAAGAATGTCCAAAAATAGAGCACAGTAAGGGTGATTCGTAGTATGATGCATATTGATGAGATTTATTTATTTATTTATGTATTTATTTATTCATTTTTTTTAAGTGTCCTGCCACTTAACCTGGGTTTTTATGCTCTATTTTGTGGTTTAATTGCATGGATACAATCTATTATCAATTCTTCTCCAAATTTCTTCTTCCTAATTTTATTTTTATTTATTTTATTTTTTATTTTCTGTTTATTTGTTTCATAACAAGTACATAGTGTAACATACTAACATTTTTTGTTTAAGTGTTTTTTTTCCTCTTGTGCCGATAGTACATGTGTTTCAAAAAAGTCAACTACTCTTATAATAAGTCACTTTCAACAAAAATGTTGCAGATGATACTAATGAACTGTTGTTATAAGAAAGGTGCATTTTCTGTTAATATAAGAGCAGCTTCAGATAAAAATGTGCACATTAAATCTCTTTGTATTGAATTTACACATATAATGAGTATAGAGTTCAAATCAACCCCAGTCTAGTTGGAATTGTATATATTGATTCTGTATTTGCAACTACCAAGACAAGCACCTTTTGATGAACCATTTCTCGTAAGAAAAGGTTAAGATTTTTTATATCATCCTCATTCTCATAACAAGGAAAGGTACATTCATGTTGTTGTTAAAGAAGATATAAGTGTTTTATAGATGCTCTCTAAAGGAGCTTGCTAACTAAGAGGAATTTGATCAATATATATTCTACTCCTGTTTGGAAAGATGTCTTTATATTGATATATAAATGCTTGATATTTCTGTTTTAGGTTAAATCCAGAATGATGGGAGATTCTTCTGCGTACAAGAGTACACTTGATTGCTTCATCAAGACCTTAAAGAATGATGTAAGTTGTTATTCATCTCTCTCTCTCTAATTGATGACGATACTGTTGAAGATAGAATAGAATATGAACTAGCATGGCAAACCTTGTGTATTCAAGAAACATGAAAAAATTGTGTCAAGTAATTCTTATACTTGGTCTTGAGGGAATAATAGAAAAGGAATATGAACTTAAATTGAGGTTTGATGCACAAAGCCACCTAATTTAAGAACTAACATTAACAGTATAACAACAATAATTCAAGATCACAGATGTGATTGCTGTGGATTAAAAATATCAATTAAACAAAAATTATTTCCACTGTCAACAGAATGTTGCAAGAGAACTAACCTTGGCTGAATATTCATTGTCCTTTGAACCAATTATAAATTACAACACAGTGAGCTCCCCTACATATTGGGAGGCAGCCGAGTCACCACATTGCATGAATGGCTTATGATTACAATGTACGGCAGATAAATTAGAAAATAAATTACCTTAAAGTCGTGTTGGTGCATTGGGCATCATGCAAAAGCATCACTCACAGTAACTTGAAATCAACCAAGAAGACTAGTGTCTTGAAATTTTAGAAATATGACTACGCCAGACAATATTTTTCTTTAATCTAGTAGCTGTCTAGGTTTTGTGGGTCATTGCCTATTTCAAATGACCATGTCTTTTGGCCGAATTTCAAATGACCATGTCTCGTGTATTGCTCAAATTGTGCATCTGATCGCCTTGTTAGGCCTGTTGAAACCCCAACCAGACTTGAAAACTTTACTGACTGGACTGGACTGGATTGTTTTCTCCAAATAGTCGAAGCTTTGTCAAGGTCTTCAGTCCTTAATTTCAAGTTTTGGGTTCTGATCTGGTCTAAATCTTTTTTTTTTCCTTCTTTTGATCGTACAATATTAAACATTGGCAACATTGATCCTCACATTGCAGTGACAGTATAAAGGCTTTTGAATTTACAATGCCTGTTAGACCGTGATAATTGCAAACCACCTTCATTGCCCTCGAAAATGGTTCTGTAACTGTTATCGTGATTGTGATTATATCTGAGACTGCATATAGGGGAGAAAATGTACTTCTGATAACTTTTAACCCTTTTTACTGTCTGCCCTCACCTTTGTTTATAAAGATGTGCAATTTTTTTTTGTTATAACTTAATTACAAGTCACTAAACGTGAAAAATATGAGCCTCCATAATTCCGTCAATAAAATAAAAAATCTTTAATGCTAATTGTATTCAAGCAGCAATTAAGTCTATAAACTTGCCAATAAATGACAACCTTCATGGATGAAACAGAAAAAATTATAACTTTTGCTGATCACGAACTGGTTTAATCTTTTCTGGTCCAGTCTAGTAGTATTGTTGGGTCCAGTATCTAATCCACTTTTCTTTTCTTTTCTTTTTTAAATTTTTTTTTTTTTGAAAATTCTGGTCTCTGAGTTATTGTTGGAAAGCTGTGACACCTTTTTCTTGTCATGGACTATCCCTCAATAGACGAGTAATGACTGCTGTTACAAGTTGCCCTTTTGCAAATAACCTACCTTCATAACCCTTTCGCCATACGTCATCTTTATGCCCATTCTCTGTCAACTCAACCCTCCCAAGAGCCATGGATTAACCAGTCTAACTACAAGTATAATTTATATAAAATGTCTCCATTGGCTTCATTCATCAACGTGGAAAGTATGAGAATAGATTAAGTTTGTTCAAAACTTGATTTAGGCAAGATGCCCAACGTCACATGGTAACATGCTACCTTCTGTTTAGTTGATTAGATTGCTGAGCAGTTTTGCCTTTGTATCGCTATTCTTTTTGCAAAATGTGAGATGTTTAAAAGTTAACACAGTAAATTTTGAATGGTAACATGCTACCTTCTGTTTAGTTGATTAGATTGCTGAGCAATTTTGCCTTTGTATCGTTATTCTTTTTGCAAAATGTGAGATGTTTAAAAGTTAACACAGTAAATTTTGTTTAATCCATGAGCAATCCTTCTTTATTATGCAGGGTCCTCTTGCATTTTACAAGGGCTTTATTCCAAATTTTGGACGCCTTGGATCTTGGAATGTCATTATGTTTTTGACTCTGGAACAGGTATGTCCACTTGAATTTGAACTATCCTATATCTTAAGTATTAGTAGACCAAATCTTCAATTTGACTTTGGGGATTGAACATTTGAACTGAAAGGTAGTCTAATTGTACATTGGTCTCTTTGTTAACCTTTTGCTCTCTGTACAGATCTCTACTTCTTTATGATCAATGTTTATCTCCTGCATGCTTGGCGCTTATCATATGATTAGTAAAAAGACTAACCTTAGTTGAATTAGGTTTGTTGGGAATCATGTCAGAGCTATAAAAAAACTAAGAACTGAATTGACCTCTCTGCAATAACATTTATGCTATTTAATTGGTGCTTTTGCCTCAAAGATAGAAGGGTGTCCTAAGGCTTAACATATGGGGATGAAACTTTATTGTTTTGAAATATGTTTGATTTTGGTATTGACCACAGCATTTCAACCTGTAAGAACTTTGTTCCTATATATTTTCTTTCTTTTGACTAAACTGCAAAATGCATTCTGTACTATATTTGACTACTCATTGTTGGCATTACTATAAAAAAAAAAAAAAAAAAAAAAAAAAAAGAGATTTGAACTTCAAAGGGGAGGGGGTGGGGAGAGGGTGGTAAAAGTTTATTGTCAGATTTACGCCTAGTAATATACTTGGAAATAATTTTCTTGCATATTAGGTGCTGAATATGTCTTCCCTCTTTGGCAGGCAAAGAAGGTTGTGAGGAATTTGGAATCATCTTGATGAAGTTATGACTACATTCTTTTTGAAATCTGTGGAAACTGATCATTGAAAATAAAGCCTTGTTGTAGCTGTTTGTAAATGCTGCTATATTCATCATGTATGGCATACAAACAGAGGCGAACTGGTGCCGAATCATAAGTAGGAGAAGAGCATACTTGAACACAGTTACAGGTCCCAATTTGATGGGGATGTTGTCATCTGCCATCCTCTTCCCTGATTAAAACATTTATTTTACACTTTCCTAGGCCTAAAAGCCCTGTATTTTGTCTCATATCACAATGACATGTATTCATCAATCAATTTCATTATTTTTCCAGCAATTTACTTCTGCTTTATAGTTATATATGATTGACAAAGGTCAATTTTCTTGGAAATTGACTACTGGGCAGTCTTGGCTTATCCAGTTGCCCATGATATAAGCGCTTGAGTTGATCTGTGTTCAGATTTAAACAATTCTGAATTTTCTAAGTGAAGCTCTAGCATTCAAGTTAAATTTGGTACCAAGTGCGCTTGTAATTACTTTTTACCATTCCAATTGTAAAGTTAGCTTAGTTCCTCGATTAAATTTGGGCCAACTCTTTAATAATCTTAATCACATAAAAATAGTGTCAGTTTAGAATGTTCGAAACAAATCTAATGCATTTTTGAAAGGCAAATATAAATTTTCTTAAGGATATATTTAAAACTTAAACCATTAATTTCTCTAGTTACGATTAAGTAAATTATTATTAAAAGTTGATATTATGGAAATTATAAATTGAGATGAATATAATAAGATATTGCTTGATTATATTTTATCTTAGATATCAAATCCTAAAGATGGTCAAAAAGAAATTTGTGTAGTGACAAAGCTTAAAGTGTTTAAATTAAAATGAAATGTATTAAATATTACGTTTACACCAAAACTTACAATTAAAAAAAGAAAAAAGAAAAATAAATGACAATTTTGCACAAGGGCAAATGTTTGGCACCTTGTGTCACAACCAAGTGTTTGATATTTGAATCTTCTCATGCTAGGAGTTTCCATCAATTCTCTACAAAATCAAGTGGGGCTAGTAATTCTAAACCAAGTAGAAGAACAAGTTTGTTATTTAATTATCGCTTATTGTCTGTCCAAATCGTAAAAACTTTCAAACCTGATTATTTTGGTTCATAATCCCGGTCCAATTATTGTTTAGTATGATGGGGCTTGAAGAGAGCTTTCCAACGATATATTATAAGCCCAAATCTAACTTAAAACGAATAAGTTATGGCCAAAATACTAAACCAATCCCAAACCAGACCTAGGTCCACCTTACCTAAGACCCAATGATCATGTGAGGGTCCAAATACCTTATTTCCAATCCTAAACCAATTATGATTCATTTAGAATAGAAGGTTCTAATTTATCCTCTTCCTCTATGCCCATAGCCCTTTAAAGCCTAGGACTTACACTTTTTTTTAAGGTGTGTTAGGATTTGAATTCATGACTGTTTGGGGGATCTTGAATTAGAATTGACTCTATCATTACGCTTTTTTGTAAGAAACTAACAAGGAGTCGCCAATGAGTTTTAGGAAAACTCATAAACCTCATCCATGCCTTTATCCCAAGTAGGGTTCAAGGGATATTTAGCATAAATCATAAGTTTACCCATGCCCAAATTAGTCTACTTGTACCATAAATGAGTTTGGGAGTGCGGGTACTAAAATAATGTTCCTTTCAGGGAGGAATCACTATTCTAGCCCGAGTGCGGCCTCTACTAGCTCTTCCTTTTCCGTAATTTCATCACCAAACAATATATGCAACGTGATACCTAAAACTAAGTTAGTTGATTTTATTTACACACGTTAATATCATAAGGATTACATTGCAATGAATGTTGTTATTCTTATTTAATTCAAATCCGTGAAAAGAACAAAATAAACAAGATTCACCTTGGCTTAAGTGATAAAACAACAATTAATTATTCTAATTCTAGTCTTGATTAACGCAAGAATACTGTGTGAAGTTAATTAAATAAAGTTTATATTAAGGGATCAAACAACACTAATTAATTAATTAAAAGTTGTTTAAGCAAGAAAAGAAAGGTGATTTATCTAAGTGCTCGGGAATTTACCACTTTTCTTTGCTAGATCTTCGTTTTGAACACTTATGGACTCCTTCTTGTTATGGAACCTCCACTGTAAGAACAAAACAATTAAAGGGTGAGTGTTTAGGACAAGAGGGATGATTATTTCATAAGTTCACAAAGTTACTGCTGACTTCTTAGGCTAATTTATGTGTGTTCAAAGCTCGTATTGAACCTCTATTTACAGGAAATGGGTGAGTTTAGTGTTTCGAACATTCTGTCGCAGTAGGTGGCGCGCGCAACTCAACAGGTTGTGCGCGGCTGCTGCGCGCAAGTAATTCAGTCGTGCTGCGGGGGGCAGCGCAACCTCTAATCTTACGCGTAGCGTTATGGTAAGATTCAATTTAGTATATTTATGAAATTCTGAATCTTCCGCAACCGCATCATTGAGGATTGCCTTGGGTGTCACGCGCAACCTTGTGAGTTGCGTGCCCCAGGCCAGCTCGACTCCTTGAGTTGCGCGCGGTTTTTCCTGCGGTAGCCCTAGATTTTAACCTAGGCGCTTCTAAATCCGTCAATATTAGGTTTAATCTCGGGATTAGGCCTAATTGCTAATCGAGCTTAGTATTGATAAGCTTCGGTTCTTTTTGTTTTGGGTCAAGCTAGTTGATTTATGTGCATGTTTAGGCCTTAATCAGTAGTACATAAGCATTCCTTACTCCAATCTAGCACAAAGATGGAATTGTTTATCATCATACCACTTCTGGTCGGGACAGGATACCAAAAGTAGATGTCTACAGTTATCCCCAACTTTGATCGACTCTAGAATAGACGATGATCAATGTAGCCAAGGTAATAAATCCGAGACTCATTTTACGAAGTTCCTTAAGGATGAGGAATCTTTCAGTAATGTTGAGAGTGTAGAAACTATTCTCGATTCGCTAAGTGTTCAAGACAAGTAGGTGCTAAGACCAGAAAAGGTATTTTCTGGTTTTAGTGCGCTAAAGAATCTAGATTAACCCTTTGCTAGGGTAGAACACTTTACAAGTAAAGGTTGTCTTGGATGATGTCATGTTATGAGAAGGTACCAGGTTTACTTAAAAAGAGTAAAGAGGATGATACCCTCTCAATATGTCATCGGCTGTCTAAAGTCCCTCGATCAGTCATTGAAACTTTAGTCCATGATTTTAATCAAGTAAAGATGATAAAATGGGGGGTGTTTCGGCATTTGTATCCTAGCACTTGAATAAAAGATTGACATACGCTGCCAAAACAGATACTCGATGACCACAAGATAGAAATACATGTCTCAGGGCTGGAGGCACATATCCATGATAGGCGGTCGCGTACCTAACAAAAATAACCTAACTATTCCTCCTAACTATGTAGTCGGGCAAGTAAGGATCGAATCCCAAGAGACTAAGGCTCACCTAAATTTATCTAGACTCAAGTAATTACCAAGCAAGAATCAATCAATGGTAGAATAACTAAGAGCTAAAGTATGGAAAACTAGAATAAATCAAACGAATATAATGAATCAATGAGCTAAAACATCCAAGATCAAGTATCACCACAATTATGATCGATGCAATTATATATCTACCCCTAACATACAATTCCAATTAACACAGGGAAAAGCAAACCCTAACAAATACCAAGGACCTCTCTCGAGTATCAATGGCTTCCCTAACCCACAATCAAGCCTATTCTCATGGTATCATGCAAATTAGAGACACTAAACACTTTACTTCAATTCCCAATTATCTGTTCAACTATTCTCATGTTGAATTTCAAACCCTAAATTAATTTACTCAATTCCGTTAAAATCCAACTCTCATTGTGATTAAAACAATGGAATAATAACAATACTAATTATCTCTAATATAGCATTGGCATAATCACAATCAATTTAGCATAAACAATTGCAATAGTTATTAGAGAATTTAAAGAATTAATTCATGCATCAATCATAATTGGGCTACCCTAGATCTTGGAATAAAACTACTCACACATAATTAAATCTAAACTAAACGAAATAATTAAGCAAGACATAATAAAAACAATAATGAAATAAAAAGAATAATAGTATAAAAAATAATAAAGCAAAACAATAATAAAACTAAAAATAAAACTACCTAACAATCAAATTAAACTACCTAACTACTACGTAAAAGCTACGGAAAAGCAAAAGTAATCCCCCCTCCTACGTACTACTACTCCCTTATATATAAAAAGTCCAAGGATAATTTTTGAGAAATCCTATTAAAAACATCTACTGCCACTAAAACTCCTCCTAAAATACGTCTCCAACTAATTAAATATAAGCCCACCGACTTTGCTTTGATCCGCTCGATTGAAGCCCAGTAGGTGAAGCTCAGCGATTGAAGCCTAGAGATTGAAGCCCAAATCAGCAACAACATCAACATGGCAGCAGCTTGAAACTGGGCCGCCTATTCAGGCCCGTCAGCTTCATGCCCAACAATCTCTTGTAAGCTTGGGTTTGTATCTTAGGTTTTTATTGGCCTGTTAATTCATAATTATATTTTGTTACTTTGGACCTATCTCTTCTCTAATCGAGCCCTTAATCACCGAATCAAATTTAATTAAATCGACCTTGGGCTTAAATATACGATTATAAAATACGATCCGACTCAAATGTCTTCGTAGTAGCTTAATAAACTCAAATATTATCATAATTCTGCAAATTCCTGCAAAATAATACCAACTCTACAAAAACACTAAAAACGTATATTAGTAATAAAAATAGCTCCGTAGAGCTCAAATAAGCACATATATGACCGTGGGACGACGAATAAAAATATATATAAAATAGACTTATCAATCCAAATCCAGTGAGAGAGAAGAAAATCGGCGATTGTCTCAGCAGTTTTGTCCACAAGATGAAAACACACATCTCAAGACTGGGGGCATGTGTCTAATTCGATGCAGCTTCAGCAAGGGCCGCTCTTTATACAGGGGTGGACGGACACCCTAACTGTCCGATAAAGCTTGATTGCTTTCTAGCTAACCGTATTTGCCTCCAACGGGGGGGCGTCTGACCCCGATGGTTCGGCGCGCTCGTCGACTCGTTTAAGCTAACACCTTAACAGAAACAGAAGTTCTACAGTTTTTGACGGGAGGCAGATCACGTTGCTACTGCAATTTTACGCAAATACATAGGCCATACAATTTTACGCTGTATGATAACGCAATATTTTTGTTATGGGCAGCAAAAATACGAAAAATGTGACATTTCTAAAAGGGTAGTACATGAAAATGCCAAACTGTCTATAGGAGCTTTTATGTAAAGCTCCACTACGGGATATTTTAAGACGCTTCACGAAAAACATCCAAAACGTATGCTTGTGGAAGGCACAAAGCACGGTGTGCATGCAAGATGATGCCAAAAACTATCAAAGA